AATATAATGAATAAAGATTGAGAACCATAAATGTAATTAAAATGTGATACAAGAAACAAAAATTGTGGTATGAATATAATTATTCAAAAAAATTATATTTTCTTCAAATAACAATTTTGGCCCTCATCTCAAAATTACAATATTTAATGAGGAAATTAGGTTAAGTACTGCCCAAAACCAAGAGAATTGATTAATACCCTAAATTACAAATTTATTCATCAATACCCTAATTAATCGTAGCTTGTACGTGAAAATAGATCAAAAGATATCATATACAGCCCCATCCAAGCCCTAACTCAAAATACACTCCAACCCATTCATCTTTGAAAAAGGCTTTAATTGAAACCCAAAATTACATAAATGTTCATCTGCAGTAAATCAATGATCAGCTCAGTTTCTCGAAAATAAATTGAATTCGCAATTGAAACCAATAACGTGAAATAGTTTCACTTAGGTAATTTAATTTCATTTTCTAGATTTTTTGAACTACTTTAGTGTTATTTTTATGTGGATTTATATATAGTTTAATGATTGTTATTGTGAATTTATTGCATAACTTGTGTTTGATAAAATTCCTCACACAGATGCGTTTTGACGCTTTTCATATTTCGATTCATATACCTCCCAGTAGAGCAGGAAAGATAAAATTGATCGCTATACATTTTGTTCGGATGCCCTATATTATAATGGCCGACTAAAGGAATATTTTTATTTTCATAGTGATTTCGATAGTGAATACAATTCTGAAAATTTTAGAGCTTGGAATTTCTGAAGTCTGTTGCTTTCATTCATGGCCAATTGTTAATAAATAGTTATAAGGAGGTTAAAACAGTGTTAGAAGTATGGGATAGAGCAATTGGTACGATATAATCCGAAGATTTGAAAACTTTTGTGTTGGGCGCCCTTTTCTATGTAGTGATTTTCTAGAAGGAGCAAGTTTATTTTCGGATATTTCAAGATATAGGTAAAAGATTATATTTGTTGTTTGATTTTTGTCTCGTTTGTGTTATTGAATAGACTGCTTTCGTGAAAAGAACAAACAATTACAGATGGTATTGTTCTTCCCATCAATGCCTAAGAAGTTGATGATAACAATTGCATACTTCATTGGCGGAGCCTCGTTGTTTGCATTTGGTTTGCATCTTTCACATGTAAATGCTGCTCTTTAACAAGCTCGGGTCAAAGCTCGAAATGACTTTATTAGAGAGATTGAGAAAGAAATACAAGGACACAAGTGTGCAACCTATATGAGCTTCACGGTATGAGTTGACGCTGATAGTAATGACTATGATAGAAGCAATAGTGACCCAAGTGAAGTGCATAGAGGAGTAAACAAGGTGGGGAATGGTGATGAAACTATTGGATTGACGATTTGGAGATTGCGTGGTGGTGGTTTATAATGAGATGTATGGTGGGTTTAATTATAAAGGTGTTCCAAGAATTTGTTCACTATATTTGATTATAGAATTATTGTTGGATAAGCACTTTTTCCAGATTACTAATTTGATAAAATACTATGTTATAAAGGAATGATAATGCGAAATGGTTCCATCTATTCATCAAAATACCTTTTTTTATGGGTTCCAATTCATTAGATTACAATGTAACTTGTGTAATCGTTTTTTAGTTTGTATCACTTTTTGAATTTTTTGTCATATTTTTTGGTTTTTTTTTTTTTTTTTTTTGAATTTTGTCAATTTTTGAGTGTGTCACCTTTTTGAGTTTGTGTCACTATTTTTTTTTTTGAATTTTGTCACATTTTAAGTGTTTGACAATTTTTAATTTTATGTTACTTTTTTGAATTTTTGTTACTTTTTTTTTATTTTAGTAATTGTCAAATTTTTGAATTTTTTTAGTGTTTGTCACTTTTTTCAGTCGTTTTTTTTTTTTGAAATTTCTATTACTTTTTTAGTGACAAATATCACTTCTTAATAAAAGTGATATTGTATATAATTTTTTAATAAGAAAGTTGATACTAAATTTTTAAAAGTAACATTGTGTCACTTTTTATTTTTATACAATATTTTTTATTTAAAAAAAAATTTCTTATGATTTTTCAAAAGACTCAGATTTTAAAGGTATTTTTGTAAGTTGTCCATGTTTAAAACTCATTTCAATCATACATCCACTCAATAAATAATTTTGTATATGGATGGACGTACCTATAATTATTGAGTGATGCTACAAATACATCAAAAATGTAAATAATGGTGTCCATCTCTTCACATGGAGGAGAATTCACTTCCAATAAAATATAATTTGTCCTAAGCGAGCCCTATTCTATGTGAGGGGTAAATACCATTATAAACATCGCATTATGTACAAGTAGTATATTCCATAATTATTTTCAACTTTTACGAACATTTTCTGAAAAAATAGCAAAAAATAATATTTCATAAATACTATATTCCCTTGTGTATATAAATGATATATACATACTTGTTTTAAGCCCATTTTTCAGTTAACCATGAATTTTGGAATATTAAATTGACAGAGAATGTATGGTTAAAAAATAAGAAAAATTTTGAATTTGCATGTAATATTATTTTATTGAAAATATATGTGATTAAAAAAAGAGAAAAATATATTTTGAAAATAATGGGAATTAAACAAGAACACAAATTCTTTTTCAAAAAAAATTATAATAATAGAGGAATAGGAACCAAAAGCAAAAGAGATCGTCGACAGCAGGGTTCGAACCTGCGCGGGCGAAGCCCAACAGATTTCAAGTCTGTCTCTTTAACCACTCGGACATATCGACTTGCCCAGAAATTTAAGTTAAATTATCATTTTCATGAAGCTACTGAGGATTCAGTAGCATTTACACCCTTGCTTCCTGCCCGCGAAGCTGCAAATTTATCGTCGCAGGAAATTGCCGGCCCTTCAGATGTTAAGGGGCCCCTTTCATAAAAAAGAAGAAGCCCAAATACAAAACCCTCAAATCCCTAATAAAGAAAAAATAAAAATTCAGCAGATGAACAGCCAGCCAGTCCGTCAAGAACGTGAGAGAAAATTGAAAGTACAATCGTGAATACCAATCGGCGATTCGGTAATCCCTAAAGACTACCTGCAAATGTTCTGGCTAGAAATCCGATTACCCAACCAACCAAGTACTTTCCTCTTCGAATTGTCTTCCTGTTGAAGTGTTGTGTTGAGGTAATCTTGCAGACTGCAGATTAATTACTCTTACTCTAGAATTTGATTTTATTTCGGGTATTGATATTTGGTAATCTGTTTATAGAAATAATTGATAGGAAAATTTGTTCAATTTATCTTTGTATATCCATATCCTGTGGCTTGTGGGTGAGACTCAATAGAAAGTGCAGTTGTAGTTTTGCAGGAAAGACCGAAAGAACTGAGATTGTTTGCACCAATATCCATGAATTGATAGAATTCCAATTGCACTTATTAGAATAATGCCTAATCCCATATGCTATAACATGTATTTGAGCTACAGTTTAATAATCGAACCTATAACCAGGAAATGTGAAAAGAATTGATTAAGCTAAATTTAGCATTTCTAATGCCCATTTAATGATTACTCAGTCTCAGTTCTTAAATATATAATTTCATTATAGTCTAAATGATGATCCCCCATGATTAAAAGTATGTGCATTTATCAAAGGAAAGCACTTGTTTCATAAATCTCTGACTGATTTTCCAAGTTTCATGTATATGTTTTCCTATGGAAAAATGAAATATCATAATTTTCTTGATAAAGAAAATAATATTTGTACCGCAACTAGTTGAACAATCACTGGATTGATGATGATAGTTTGAAGAATATTTTAAGATCAATTATTTCATATATATAGTGGATCAGGTTCTATCATCACTTCAGAATAGATTTGAGTGATTTCAAAAATATGATGATATTTTTGGATTTTTAATTGATTGAAAAGACTTAAATGTATTGATGATGATTGTTTGAAGTGTTCTTGCATTAACCTTGAAAATTACTTGAAGCATAATATGATTTCTGATATTGATGGGGTAGAATTTATTTTCTGAGCTGAAAGCTTTAAGGGCAGCGATATCTGCAAAAAATGTTGAATTGTTGTTTTGCAAATGCTTATATTGCTTATAGAGTATTATTAACTATTCCTGTCAAAATAGCCTCTGTTGAGAGAAGTTTTTCAAAGTTGAAATTGATTAAGTCTTATCTTTGATCAACCATGTCACAAGAGCGATTAGATGGATTAGTTATGATTTCTACTGAAAGAAATATGTTGGAAAAACTTGACTTTAGTAGTTTGATTACTGATTTTACATCTCAAAATGTGAGAAGGTCAAATCTTATGCTAGCCTGATGTCACGGACTTGCTAATTTCCTTCAAGAACCGTGCGGCCTTAGTGTCTTCAACTTCCGCCCCTGCGGTTATTACACTAAGTCAGCCTCCCGATTGGCGTTGATGTCTTAGAAAGGCACAAAGTAGAACGCTTTGAGAAAGGGACAATGAAGGAACACAAGAACTTACAAAGAAGGCTTTGTATTAAATAAGGATACTCTTTACAATTTCACTCTCTTGATGCCTTCAAATAAATCCTACCAAACTATTTATAGTAGTAGTCTCCTCAAATGGATGGCTAGGATCTTTTCTATCCAATGGTCTAGATTACACATCTAGAATTATCTATACAAATATCTACATTAAAATATCTATGGACCAGACTAGGATGATCTAGAATAATCCACTAAGTGAGGAGCTTGTAGGCTTCTAGAATGTCCCACCATATTCTAGCAATCTTCATGCACTTGTGGGAGTCTAGAATATTCCGGTTAGCCCCAAGTCGTCAACATTTTAAATTTCTCGATCTTCTTGTGCCAAAATCGAGCGAGTCGTGACACTGATCTCTCGGGTTGTGAGAGAAGTTTTATTTTACTGCTCTATTTTTTGAATTGTACAAAGCTTTCTTTTTAATATATAAGTGTTAATTATTTAAATATTTAAATATTATTACACTTCTAAAATAAAATATTATGTTAGAAGGACTCGGAATAATTAATTGGCTAGGGCTTCTAAGTTTTCGTGGCCGGCTCTGCAAGAAAATATACAGTAAGAAGTCACACTCACGGAGAGAAGAAGCATGTTGTATTTGGTAGGATTAGGGTTAGCGGATGAGAAAGACATTACATTGAGAGGGCTTGAAACAGTCAAAAAATGCAGCAAAGTGTATATGGAGGCCTACACTTCTCTTCTCTCCTTTGGTCTCTCTTCCACTGGCAAATCCGCATTGGTGGGTCATTTTTTATCTTTTTCATTTTTTTGGTTCGAGTGCAAGTTCATAAAGTTTAAATCATTATTTTTATGTTTTTGCAGGAAAATCTTTATGGGAAATCAATTATAGTTGCAGATAGAGAAATGGTAGAGGAGAAGGCAGATGATATACTTTCAGAAGCTCAGTCTTCTGATGTGGCCTTCTTAGTCGTCGGGGATTCATTTGGGTAATTTTGATTTCTGTCAATTTATTTTTTGTGGAAATTCCCAATTTTTTTTTCAGTATGTTTAATCCCATTTATTGATCTTTTCAATTGAATTCCAAATTCCTTGTTTCTGTTGAGGCTTGATGTGGAATTTGGGGTTGATAGGAGAAAATCGTGTTATTGCAGTTGATTGCTTTGTAGGCGGAGTGATTTGGGTGGGGGTTATGTAAACTTGTTAGTGCGAGTAAAACCTTTATTTGGTTCTGTATAATGGGTAAATCTATTTTAGATTTTCACCAAAGAAACATCTATTTTGTCAAAAAAATAAAAAAAATGCATATTTTGCTATGAGATTTTCCATTGCTTGGGAACAAGCGTGTAAAGTAAGGGTTGTGTTTGTATGAAAGCACATATGAATTTGTGATTGTAAAAATTGAAACTGTAATCTTTACTCACTGCCTATGTTGGCTTGTGCTTACTGTTTTATGACCAATAAAGAGCAACAACCCACACTGATCTTGTTGTGCGAGCGAAGAAGTTGGGGGTGGATGTTAAGGTGGTACACAATGCGTCAGTGATGAATGCAATTGGAGTTTGCGGGCTGCAGCTTTATCGGTATGGGGAGACAATTTCAATACCTTTCTTCACAGAGACCTGGAGGCCTGATAGTTTTTACGAGAAGATTAGAAGAAATAGAACACTCGGATTGCACACTCTTTGCTTGTTAGGTAGAGTCAACATTTTTATTCTTATACTCTTGGATTTGATATGTGGTGGTTAAGTTTGAAATGTCTGTATTTTGTGAAACTTACTGCACATTCTGATATTTTCAGATATACGAGTGAAGGAACCCTCACTAGAATCCTTGTGCAGGTTAGTGACGAGGCAAATATGTCCCATCATTATAGAACTCAACCTTGTTTTATTTTCCACCACTCCATTTTTCTCCTGCACATATATTCAATCACTTGGACCAGTGTTCACATGTCTGTTCCTCGTGATATGTCAGAGGGAAAAGAGAGTATGAGCCCCCAAGGTATATGACAATAAACACTGCAATTGAACAGCTCTTAGAGATTGAGCAAAACCGTGGAGAATCAGGTATTTTCATGAGTTCTCGCCATTTTATGTAATTCCCACGAAGTTATAATAAGAGTTGCACATTAAAAATAAAAAGAATCACTTCATGCTATGAGTGGAAACCACTAACAACAATCATTATAAACTTGAGCTGATCATTGCATGCTATTCGAATTGCAGCATATAGTGAGGACACTACCTGTGTTGGTTTGGCTCGAGTAGGCAGTGAAGATCAGATGATAGTTGCAGGTTCAATGAAGCAACTTTTGACAATAGATTTTGGACCACCTTTGCATTGCCTCGTCATAGTAGGCGACGTTCACCCGGTAGAAAAAGAAATGCTGGAATTTTATACTTTTGGCAAAAGTTCAAACCAAATTTCTTAATTTTTATTGGCTGCATTAGTGCTATAGCATAATCAATTGTTGTACACTATTTCTTTCTTTATGATCTCACCAAATACAAATACAAGTTTTGAGTTTGTGGATTATTGGAAAAATCTTCACCGAAGAGTGGAGATGAAGACAAGCATTTTCCCTTTGATATTATGTGATCTCACAAGAGATGTTATTTATTAGATAAAACTTCCCTGACCCATAATATTTTCGATTATTTGATTTTATGCAAGAAATCTTGTGTGTACAGGAATCTTTCGGCCTGTGTGGTTATATAAAGCATTGAATAAAATAAAAAATAAAAAAATCTATCTACCATAGGATAATAGAGATTGGATGTTGCATCTCTTGGAATTCTAGTAGGGGTCATATCGTTTTTATATACCTACAGCACTTTTATGTCATGTTCTTGCATCCTTGGTATTTGTCACATTGGTGTCTAGTTGAGTACCTTCTGGGAAAGCTAGTTTCTGCAAAATTTAGTGTCATGCTGCTATGTTGGCTTTTATGTACAGTTTGTTTTTTTCTTTAGTTTGGTCGAGTGTCATGATGCATTGACTCGACATGAGCTACGGTGACTAGATTTTGTGATGAGTTGATGCCTTTTAACATGACAACTCCTTGTGGGTGACATAACAGAAATATGAGTTCTATACCTTATTGTGCTTATTGTATCTCGGAGTTAATTGCCTTGAGACATTTGTGAACGTTTGTCTTGCTTAATCATGTTGATGGGATTCAATACGGACAACCTATATGTAGATGCTTAAATTTTTTGGCGAATAAGTAATCTATCCTAATACTAATGCTTTTATGTTTTGTCGTCTCAGTTGACAGTCATCAGCTGTGTGCAAGGTGCTATTCCTCATTCCGTTGTTTTCTAATCCATCTTTTTCCTATTTTCTCTCTACCTTGTTACCTTTGTTATTGCTTTCAAATACCTACCATCATTGTTTCTGTGACATGCAGAAGAGTGGGCTTGTTTCGGATAATTTATTTATATAGTTCTGCTGGTCTTTTAGTTATTTATTTTTTCTATTTCATATTCATTACTTGGGAACTTTTTCTTTTTTCGATTCCTTGCTCTGAGAGGAAGTGATCAGGCAATGACAGAAATGATGTCCCTTGGTTTTTATGCTGCTTGTTGGATTCAAATGACTGTTGAAGCAAAGTATACTCTCTTTGGTATCTTCTTTTCGAAGATTTTATTTCAAACATCGCATTTTTCATGTGAGGTTTCAATAGATGGCCTCGTGTTTAACATCACTGTAATTGGTTTGTCATGCTTACGACGTTATCAATCCCACCGCAAGTGATGGAATCGATTTTTTCCTGAAGTTGTGTTTGAGCCTGGATCAAAAGAAGTAAATTTGTGTTTAGTATGAAATATTTTCGTTTATTTCTATGTTGATATGCCATTTTTCATGTTTGTAACCAGGTTTGCAGTTACATCGACTCCTTGTGCTCTTCTAGCAAAACGAAAGTTTCACTTCGTTACCTCTTATGAATTCGTTAGGAAAATTGCATTTGTTTGTCTCAGTTAATGATGTGGAAGTGGAACTATGAACTTCTAAGTCATTTTACATGTGACTTGTCAATCATTTGATTCAACGCAACACTTTTAATAAATATGTGATGGCGTTGATTCCCCAAATTATATGCTAGAATTTTTTAAGGATTTTATCAAGTTTCAAACTCCCAACTTGAGACTGTTCCAAAACTAAGAGACTAGAACTCTGAAATATATCTAGTTTATATCTAAAATTATTGTAATTAATTCTCGTTTAATTTTAACCATTGATCACAATATCAATAAGTTTAATACAAATGAGCTAGCATCTCCAAGAAATTCTCTACTTTTAAAAATCATATTTTACAATTTAGAGAGCATTTCATAAATTTAGAGAGTAAAAATTTTAAATATTCCAACAAGCTTTTTATGTCGGACACTTAGTTTTATTACTCCTAAGAAATACTTATTATTTTTCCTTACCTTTTATTTTCACCAGCTTCTTTCTAAATTATTGTATTATTATTATTTTTTATTGAAAATTGAAATACTTTAAATGTATTTATAATAGAGAGTATGTTTGGCTCTTTAGATATATGCAATAACATGCCACATTCGGAAAAAAGGAAAAATCAAAATAAAAAGACACGAGACCTAAAAGCCACAAGCAGCGGTCATCAGGGTTGGTCCTGTGATCATGGAGGCTCGAGGTGAACTCCATAAATTGGGCCTCCAAAATCAACGTAAATCAAAATCCAACGGTATACTATACAATCAATTGCTAACTTAAAATTTAACGTAAAAGACATTTACAAAACATCTCAATTATGGGAGGATTCTTTTACGTTAATTAGTGGGTTTTACCAGAAAAAAATGAAAAAAGAAAATTTTTGGGCCCCCTTGAAGAGCTGGGCTTGAGGCAGCGGCCTGTTGAGCCTATGCTCAGGCCCGGCTCTGGCGGTCATTATAATCTAAGTTCACAAGTGTAGTTCAATGGAGTAAAGAAACATCCACAATTACTTGACATGGTACTACCCAATAAGACCAAGCAGTACAGTCAAAGATAATTCTCGATGTAATAATCTTGAAAACCATTCTAACTAATAGGAGATTGAACTGGTACAGAGAAATCCAAGGCCTTTTATACACAGCAATTTGAAAACGGAGCTTTCTGCATGGCTACATGAGCAACAGAAACTAGGACATGATAAAATAGGTGCTTACTGCAATTCAAAAGTAATTCTTATGTACGCGAAGATTTTGACAATCTATAAGAGACAAGATGTAACATCCTGATGTACTATATCATGCGATCCCCCAAACATATTGTCCCTTCCGACGGTCATTGGTTGAAAAGATTTTGTACATTTGCCACCTAAAACAAAAACTTGTCCCCTACTGAAGATCTTCACCGCCAGTATTCTTAGATCTAGAATGCATTTCTTAATGGGGTATAATTGCCAAACTTTTTCTGCACTTTTCCTTGCAACCATGTCAGCCGAATATAGTTGCTCTTGAGAGAAAGGAAAGTCTCCCTGAAACTAGGATTCTCAAAGAGGTCCAAGGCAGGATAGTACAGGCCATCTTCGATGCCTTCTATTTCATCCAAGGCTTTTATGCAGTTAGTAATTGTGAACTTTTTATCAACCTGAGGCATTGTAACTGTTCGCAGCCTTGAGGAAGCAATCATCTCGTTAATGGCTTTTGCCATTCCATCACTTAATTCTCGATTCCAGTTGTTTTGCACAGATACAGAGACCAAGTCTGAAGGACGCTTTCTCTTTTTATCTGCCGTGTTCGTGTTTTGTGGCGAAGATTCATTCCCATGAACATTTTTTGATGAAGATGGAGTTTTAGGAAGTGGGTTCCCACCTTCTAGACCAGGTGGATCAGTCCCACTGGACTTGCCGAGTTCTTCGTAGTGGCTTGATTGAGCATATTTGCCATCCACTCCCGAATCAGCAAATATTGTGCATAGTTGCTCATAAATAGGACACTCCTTGGTCTTTATTAGTTCGGTCTTTGACTGTGCCTGTATGCATAAATTGAATATGATAATATTAAGCAGCTTAGCACATATGCACATACATATACAAGCATGTTTCTGTATGTACATAGGAGAGTGACAGGGAAGAGAGATACCCCGAAATCTTCCCATAAATCAAACGCTATGTAGCCAGGATCCTGGATTGCATCATTTTGGTTAATGGCAGATTGCACATTGTGATAACGTGTCCTAAGAACGTCTAGATGTTTCCTCAACTGATTGTTATTGAAATTGAGATTGGTCTGTCTGTTAAATTCCTCACGGATCTGGTTCCATGTTTTCTTGTCAAAAACATTGTTTGTCCTGTTCCCTATCCGAATCTGCTCAACCACAATGTCAGCAAAAACCTTATCAAGGGCTGCAGTCCATCTCGTCCTCAAACGCTCTTGCTTTGGGTGGTGGTCATTAGCTTCGTTGTCCATCTGCATTTCCTAGAAAAACATTTCAAATAATCAATATCATGACATTCAACAAAGCATAAAAATTCCTTGAAGAAGAGACAGTCTTTATAGCTGGTAAATACAAAAGAAAAACTTACCTTGGGTTGATTTTCACCCAAGTATTGGCACATACGATTAAACTGCTGGTTCTGCTCTTCTGCAAGCGTGTGCCACATCACGCTATCACAGTGACCAAAATTTCCAACCGATCATAATTTAGTTAAGAATAAAGTTAAATATATCTGCTTTACTCATCAAGAGATTATATCAACAATTGACAATGAGAAGAAAATGGTATACTAATTAACAAGTACCAGAATTTTTGCATCCAACAAATAAAATACATCTCAAGATATAAATATAAAAAATAAAAAATCAGTTTTTTCGAATTGCATTTTACAACTTTCAAGCAATCATTAGCCGGAAGTGATCACACATTGCATTTTACAGCTGTTCTAAGAACCAAATATGAATAATTTACCAGAACCTCGTAGCAAAACACAATCCTAACCTCAAAACGGTACCAAAAGATGAGATAATGTGAATTAGTCAAAATTTACAATTTTATTATACAACGGTCCACACGAATTCTCATGATTTCACTTAACAACACATATTGCTCTGGTCACCATGTCAAGAATACGAGTTCTCAGTCATCAAACTTCCATTCCATTTTAAACCCAAAATTACAATCCAGAATTTTTAAACGCTTAATTAACAGTAATAAATCACGCATAAGACTGAAAATTAAACATCTAGCCGCAGCAATCAATTAAAAAACAAAAGCATTAAAATAAACTTACCAAACAAATAAAAAAATTTAAATTAGTTATAAATATAATAGGCAAAAAACTTACCCGATCGGAAAATCGATCCGGAAGTCCCCGAGAAATGAAAATTCCGTGCAACGGCGACTAAGCGACAGGAATTGATTTTGTGATTTAGGTTAAGTTGTAGCGAGTTACAATTTATGGAGAAAAAGCAAAAAAATCAAAAGAGTAAATGCTTAGTAAATAAATTAGATTTTCTTAAAATTATTAAAATGAAAGTTTTAGTTTATTGGGCTTAAATGGACTGTAAATGTATAGGGCCGACCCAACTCAAAAGAGTAGGATCCGGTTTCAAATTCACTTTGACAGGAAAGACGTGCCATCTTCCTCCATAATTGCTATGTCCATGCACCCAATATCACAGCCACAAAAAATGAACCGACGAGGAAGAAAGAAGAAACATCGTCGTCCCAGAAATTGTCGGTGCTCTCTTCTGTCCAATTTCAAACAACTGCATTTTTTCAGACCCCTTGAACTCCATTAAATAATTCATTTTTGCCTCCAAATTCTTCATTTTTCTCATTTCCTGGTGTACTTTTGAAAATATTCCCTCAATCTAAACCCTGTAGTTTCCCACGCATTTAAGTAACCACATTCTAATTTTATCCAATATCCCTCGGAAAATCCTAAAATTCATTGCATGTTAAGACATTTTCCATTTTTACCAATTTCTAGAAAAGTTTTTAAGGAAAATGGGGAAGAAATCGCGGTGCAAAGGATGCTGGGGGTGGTGTCTGGTGCTGATTGTGTTAGCAACAATCGCATTTGGGATTTTCATTTCTGTAAAATTGAAAAATCGAAAGTCCGATTCAGATGTTCCGGGGCCACCCGGTTCCATATCGAAGAAATATGCTAATGCTCTTAAAATTGCAATGCAATTTTTTGATGTACAAAAATGTAAAATCCCTCCTCTTTTATAATTAATATTTAAAAAAAAAAATTGTCATCTTTTTAGATCTTTATATTATTCATTATGATGTTTGTTCATTTCTTATGCATGGAAAATACTTGATTGATTGATACGTTAGCTACATATACGTTTTCATTTGAGTTTCGGTGGCTACGTTAAAACATTCTGGTTGAAATGAGAAATTATAACTGGGATTGAATTCATTAATAATGTTAAAGAAGAGATTTATCTCATATTTGGTTTAGATAAAAATTAGATTTTTAGTATATTTTGATAAAAGTTGATGGAATGTGTGGGTAAAAAGTTGTGTGTCATATGAAATATATGGTTAAAATTAAGTTTTGACTCTAACTTAGATTTTAATCAGATTTTTTAACTGAACCAAACAGGGGCTTAATATGGATGTTAAGGATTTAGTTGTTGTAGACCTTTCGATAAATCAAGCAATGAATCGAACTAAAAAGAGAAAAATGATCCATGTATCTGACCAGAAAATTTATTTGGATCTAAGACTTAGTTTGTTATTCTTGATCTTGGATGGAGCTTTTTGTTGATGGTGGAATTGGCTGCTGAATGTTGCAGCTGGAAAATTGGTGGACAATAAAATATCTTGGAGGGGGGATTCGGCATTGATAGACGGAAGTGAAGCAAAATTGGATCTTTCAAAAGGCATGTACGATGCAGGAGATCATATGAAATTTGGATTCCCGTTGGCTTACACTGCAACCGTTTTGTCATGGAGCATCCTCGAGTATGGGGATCAAATGAAGGCAGTGAATCAATTGGAACAGGCTCAGGACTCTCTCAAGTGGATCACTGATTATCTCATAAATGCTCATGCTTCTGAAAATGTTCTTTACATTCAGGTTGTCCAATCTTGTTGCATTCTTGATGTTATTACATTAAATTTATCTAATGTGCTCCTGTTCTCGAAAAATTTCAGGAAAGGATATGTTCATGTCTCTGTACATGAAATCTCTGCTTGGAAATATATCCTCAGGGGCCTTAATGTGTTCTGCACCACTTTGCATTGAAACTTAATCTTTATAAGCACATTTGAGTTTAACTGATGCAGATATCTCTAAATTGTGTTGTTTCACCATTGCAAATTTTGGCAGGTGGGCAGTCCTAAAGCAGACCATAGTTGTTGGGACAGGCCCGAGGACATGACCGGGCCAAGGCCTCTCACACAGGTGAACACTTCCACCCCAGGAACTGAGGTTGCTGCTGAAACTGCAGCAGCTATGGCATCAGCATCCCTCGTGTTCAAGTCTATTGACTCGGCATATTCGAGTTTGCTGCTGAACCATGCCACACAATTATTTACTTTTGCTGACAAGCATAGAAAATCTTATAGCATTAGTATTCCTGAAGTGAAAACGTATTACAATTCAACGGGATTCGGAGATGAGCTCTTGTGGGCAGCCAGTTGGCTATACCATGCAACAGGAAACCAATCATATATCAATTATGTCACAGGGGAAAATGGCGAAGAGTTCGCTAATTGGGGAAGTCCAACATGGTTTAGCTGGGATAACAAATTGGCTGGAACTCAGGTATGGATATATTTGGAATTAATTGAGAATAAGTGGTCTAGGGAGTGAGCCCCGACTAGTGCTCTCGTCACTAGAATGGCCGCAATCCTTTCCCCCTTTTTACATATCAAAAGTCTCAAGTTGATATGTTGCTTCCTTTTCAACTTGGTGATGAATTTAATTTGAAAAATGGTTAAAGAAATTGATTACCATTAGTCCATTAGATCAATTAGAACAACTCAGCCTTAAGGCTGAAGATTTTTCTGGAATCGTGTAAAGTATACGGCTCGTTCACTGAGGGAGTAACTAAGTGCTTTTCTTCAGGTCCTGCTGTCTAGGGTTAGCTTTTTTGGGCCGAAAGACGTATCAAACTTCGACATCCTGCAAACGTATAGAAAATCGGCTGAAGCTGTCATGTGTGGGCTCCTACCGGAATCTTCAACGGCCACATCCAGCAGAACAGATAGTAAGCTTCTTTCTGATCGTTTTGACTTAAATTCTTGTTTTGGGTCATTTATTGTCTTCAACTACAATTCATCCCATAAAAGTTGACTTTCATTGTGCATATTTGTAAGTTTTAGTCTCATAAAATCGATATGTAAATCACTTATGGGCGATTTCAGTAGAAGTTTTACTCACATTCAGTTTGTTAATGCAGATGGTTTGATATGGGTAAGTGAATGGAATGCTTTGCAGCAGCCTGTGGCATCTTCATTTTTAGCTGTCCTTTACAGTGACTACATGGTCACATCTCGGACTACAAAGCTATCCTGTAATGGAGATACCTTTACACCCTCAGATCTTCGGAAATTTGCCATATCACAAGTA